ACAGCCTTTCTACCGGTAATTTCACATTTATTTAATAAGGCAATTTTGTCATAATAATATTCATCAAGAGACTGACCGAATCTGCAACGTATTTTTAACATTTTCGTAAGTAAATCTCCATAATTCTCGTTGGAAAGAAACGTAGCTCTCAGCTTACTGACCCATTCATCCCATGTAAATAGTAAGGAAGGCAGCCCCTGATACCACCTCTTAGCAAGGCCCGTTAACTTGGGTAACGCAAAATGACATATTTGCCTATCATCCCATGAGTATATTTTAGCACACTCGCTCACTTTATGAATCCACCATTCAATGCTTTGGCTATCAACAGAAGGATCAAATTCTGGTATAACATTAAAATTTGCCGTTATATTATTAGACCACATCTGTCCTCCAGTAGGAGCAACAAGAACAGCATTTGCGCTGTTTGTTAAGCTTGATGTAGCTGGTGGTTCCATAACATAAGGTAGGGGCTGAGGATTCACACTTGCGACATTATGAGGCATATCATTTGAGTTAATTCTTATCTGTGGTGACACTGTTCGAACCCTGGGCAACGGCGGAGTTCTTATCGAAACGCTCCTATTACGATTTCTACCTCGAGATCGATTTTTATTACTATGTCGAGATTTGCGATGATCGTGGTGCCGACAATGGGTTGATGGGGACCGTTTACGTTTTTGCCTACCATAGCGTCTTTGTTTACTACGACGATCAGGAGTACTAGAGTTATAAGAAGTTCCGATTGATGTTGATGAGCTTCCATAACGTTTATGAGCATGATTACGTCGCTTACGTCTGACCTGAGAACGTGACCTGCGTGGCGACCTCATAATATGAGTTATTATTAATATCAGTTTTATTATCGAAAAAAACGCCCAAAATTAATTGTTAACATTTAGGGGTATTTTTACTCTCGTGTCTTAACTAACGGTAACAAATTAAAGGAAGAGAAATATTTATAATTACATGTTTAAATTAAAAGCTATCATACAGAGACATTGCAATTTCACTCTATAAGTTTTATGGTAATTAACAAATTTAAACAATCTGAGTAAAAAGGATTAAATTTATCTTATTTCAATTGAATTGTTTCAATCAAGCCTAAATTTCGTTATTTTTTTTTTCACTTATGTAGTCAAATAGTATTCACTGTACTATATTAAGTCAAATTGTATACACTGTGGGTGGCGGCCCGAAGATTTACACAGGTTGCCACTTATGAGATTAACACCGTAAGACACAGGATGTATCCACATACAAATTTATCACGAATCGCTAGAGAGGAATAAAAATCACAGACCTTGGTTCATAGTGAACTCACTTTAGCAGTCTTCTTTGCGTATACTCCAAATCGACTTTGAGACAGGATGTCTTGCGATTACGTGTGGGTTTTGTTCATCCCACTTCTGAATTTGTCAGATTTTCTCCAATAAAACCACGGCACTTTACTTAGTTAACTGTTTAATCACTATGTTCCGTGCTTAATCACACTCTCAAACTGTATATGAGTGTTTTAACACACTACACTTTACTTTTACAAAGAACACTATATTTTAATTCTACTTTGACTTACAATCTTTCGAATCACTTAATTTCACGACAGACTTAACTATTATAACCTTCTCAGTACCAATGTACGTATTCAACTGCCGCGCGTGTCAAGTGTAGGCGCTTTTATATTATGACTCGATTTTAGAATTAATGCAGGTAGTTTGAAATGGATTCATATTGGTATTAATTGTGAAGATTGCCATGTAATATTGCATAATGATTATTTATCTAACACTTGCCAATAGAAAAAAAAATTAAAACTTACTTTACTTGTAGAACAGTTCTTTAATACAAAATTACAAGTCACCTACGTACAAACATCAGCTTAGAAGTATATATAACCCCAAATTAATTATAGCTAAAACTCATAATATGTTTGGCGATCATCAAAATAAGATTATTATTTCTAAATTAATTAATAAACTACCTAAAACCTTGAAGGAAAATATCAATCCCAAAAATATTAAATACAAATTAAAAACATACTATTTGAATCAACTAACATGAAATAACTAAAAACTAACATACTTTTTCATTACCATATGTAATATAATTACCATATGTATATTCCAAAAATATAAAATAATATTTTCTCCAAACATCCTGTATATTACTCTAACTAAATAGCTACTACAACTCATCTTCATGTTATTTGTACAGAAATGAGCGAACTACCTTCTTACTCTAAATAATATTAAAATGTTTGCGCTCGAAAGACTGCGAACTGCAGTGTGCAGAAAAATCTTATATAGGTTTATGTTGCACTGTATTTATGAACTTTGTTTAGTATGTATTTTAGTTGTTGTAAAAAAAATTAAAAAAATCAACATTTTTTGTTTTTTTTTTACCGAGAAATTTATCTTCACACTTCATATTTTTGTAACAAGCTTTTTACTAAATGGAGTATTTTTAACTCCTTTCCTTGTTGCCATTAAAAAGGACCACAGTAGCTCCATTTACTCTGCTGTTAAATTAAAAAAATAAAGAAATGAAAAATATTAAATGATACACAAAGGGTGCCAAAGTAAATCCGAAAATTAAATGTTGTGCAAGAAAATAATTAAAAAAGCCTAACAACCTGCCTAAGCCCAAAAACCTAACAAAACTGTTAAGATAATTATTTAGATTTCCTTAAAAAAGCTTCTGACTTGGCCTGGGCAATCTATTTTCAAAATCCCCACATAATACCAATCCATAACTAACTTTATTTTCCCCGTAATTTGGGGGATTCCTCACATGTTGGCATTGTAAATTGCGAGGCGTCACGGGTCGGCCTGGTGGCGGCAGCGCGTGTGTGAAAGAGAAGGATAGAGTGAGCGAAGTACAGTAATACCTATGCATTGTTTCGTCATATTTATTCTATGGTTTCGTACCGAGTTAAATAAAAGAGTTCAGCGTCCACGCGTTTATTGACCCTATAATCACCTGGTATACCGTTTTAATTTTACTGCTGGTTTTATTTTTCAGTATTTCCATGATTTTTTTATGAAATAATTGTTTCATTTAGCTGTACTAATATGATGGAGCGTGAATAAAGTTAATAAAACGTAGTGAAAAGATTTTTTTCCATTGAGATCGATTTTAACCTTGTCCCATCGTCAACGGTATCGTTAGTACCATAGTCTGTCTTCGTTTTCGGGAGCGTTTCAAAAATGCCCTGTATAATAATAAAGTCTAGACCTAACTTTGGTCACGGCGGCCAACCTCAAAAGAGGATTATCCATCTGCCCAGGACAGGATTATTGAGCATGAGCGTGTGTACAAACACACATGCACTCTATTTCTTCACTCTGCATTCTGGTGGGACGGAAATCCGACATGACATGGGAGAGAGAAGGCGTAGGACAAACGAATTTATGTGCTTTCCGAGGCATGAGGGTGAAAAACAGTCCACTTCGGGACTACCGGTTTTTACTAAGATTCTCACTCATCTCCACTCCCTCGTCGTAAACTAGAATCTTTGCTACTATTAGTTGTAAACGACCCTTATTGGTCTAATAAAAGCTGGCCTATTCTCAAATCTCTAAATGGATTAAAAATATTGGTTATCCTTGTGGAACGTCCCTAATTCTACCCTATTTTGAAACCAGCTATGAAGCTCTATTACTGAGTCCTAAAATCACACTGAATTTAAACATTAATAAAAATTCCCCAACTGCAAACAGAATTTTCTACAGCCTTATAGCAAAAAATTGGCCTGATTGGCTATATATTTTTACTGATGCTTCCAAATTGACTCCGTCTAAATGTGTCGGTGCTGCAGTCTGGATCCCCAAATATAAAATTGTTCTTAATTATAGATGTCCTCCTCAGGCTTCAGTTTTTACTGGGGAAGCTGTCCATTTATGAGGCTATATACTATATTCTTCCCCATAAAATTCCTAAGTCATTTATATTTACTGATTCAAAAAGCTGCCTAATTTCCTTCCTTACAGAGCAATTTATCTAAAATTAAATCCATCTACCCATTAATACTGAAAATTAAAGAACTCCTACTAAATTGTGATAAGAGTGGGCTTAAGGTAGAGATTGTGTTGAGTCATTGTGGCATAGAGAAAAATGAACAGGCTGACTCCTGGGCCAAAAGAGCTATAGATACAGGCTGTCCTTCTCATTTAATGAATTCCCTCAAGATCTAATGTCATAGCACAAATTGAATTAAAGAATTCTTGGAATAGAATGGAGTATCTCCAGACATATTAAAGGTTGTCACTATGGTAAAATCCAATCCCAAATTCCACCAAAACCTTGGTTTTTAAATTTAGTTTCTTAAACAAGTCACATCTACAATCTGCCGTTTAAGGTTCGGGCATGTATGCACTCCAGTTTTCTAGCTAAAATTAGAATCAAAAAGCATTCCCTCTGTGAATGTGGTCTGAGTGAAGGTACTCCAAACCACATTTTTTTCAATTGTCAAATTCACCCTATTTCTTTAAATGACATATTTCCCAAAACAATCCCTCAACCGGTTAATTTTAATACACTCTTAACCTTTTCTGATATCATATATATATATATCAATATTATCTCAAAATATAGTCAAATGTATAATATTAAACTATAACTATGTATATAGTATTAAAATATAATATTCTAACTTTAGTTTACCCAAATTCTCTATTCCCTGCTCAGGCTATACCTCCTATAACTAAATGTTTGTTTTACATTGTGTTGTCCATAACTTGTGTATTTAGTTGCGTTTGGTTTTAGCCACTTTGTCACCTAGTAACCGCCAACTTCTTTCCCATCAAGAAACCTCAAGACAAAATGTGACAAACCAAAGACTGGACATTGGCAGAATTTTTGTGACATGAACACAATAGAAGGGTCATATTGTTAAAAAAAAACTTAATCTAGTGTGAATAAGATATAAGTTATGCAGCTCGTAACAATTAAGAAACACCGTCGCCAAAATTCATTTATAATGTATTATTTTAATATCTTAGGTGATGACCAAAATCCTGTTTCGACATTAAGCTCCGGAACGTCGAGTTCAGCCACCGAGAGACTACTCTAGCTAGCGGGGGCCGGGCCTAACAGGGCCGGCCCCAACAAATCTACAAACGTGAACGGCTCCCTCAGCCCGCACAACTCGCGGGAGGGCGACAAGCGTTCGGACAGCAACGAGCCCGAATCCCAGCCGAGGGTGGTGCACAACATCAGTATCAGCGTGACGGATGCGGATTCGCCGGCGGGCGTACGGCGGCGCGTGCACTTGCGCTCGCTCAGCGACGTGACGCCGGCCAGCCGCACGCCCGTGCAGCGCGCGCGATCGCACTCGGAGCGGCCGCGCGCCTCGCCCGCCCCGTCGCCTGCGCGCTCGCTCGCGCTGTCGCCCACGCCATCACCGTTGCGGGCCGCGGTGACGCGTAGCGAGCGCTCGTCGCCGGACGCGTCGCTGCGCGAGGCGCGGCCGGTGGGCGGCGACCCGTGGCGCAAGATGAGCGAGGTGGACTTGAAGAGCGCGGGGCGGGCGCGCGCCGACCCGTGGGTGAAGAGCGCGAGCCTGCGGCCCGGCGACGCGGCGCGGCGGCGCGCGCGCGGGCGCCTGGAGCGCGCGGCGCCGGTATGCGAAGGCGTGCGGCCGCTCGGCCTGCGAGTGCTGGCGCGCGCGCTGCACGTGCTCGCCGCGCGCCACCCGCCTGGCGCCGCGCGCCCCACACCCCCGCAGCGCGCGCACTCGGACGACGAGACGCGCCCGCGCCGCCTCTACAAGTCCGCCTCGCAGGCCATATGCTCCTCCACGGAGGAGCGCGCCAAGCCCGCCGATCCCCTCCTCGAGACTACGTGCTGAGTCGCCCCGTGACATGCATTGTCGATATGCGAGTATTATTAAAACGGATTTTTGTATCCCCTTCGCTAGCTGTAAGGTTTCCAAATTACAATTGTATCATATTCTATGATTATTATAGATTCGCATGTTATGAAGTATGATAATATGGATGTTATTATAATGTAATTATCTTTAAATTGGTATGGTTGTGCGATGTGAGTGCCGAATGTGTATGTCGATAAATGCATTTTAACTATGTATGTAGATTTCTATTTATAGAAATATAAAAACTTAACATTGACCATACTCTTGTAAAATATGTGAAAGATATTTTGCTAGTTCCTACGTTACTTTTTAAACAGTTATAAATACCATATATAACATTACACACGGTCCTTACAATTAAATTTAATAATTTTTATCCATTGTTATTACTTAAATTGCATTTTGTAATTTAGTTTAAAATCCCATTTATAATTAAATTCAAATTTATTAAACTGAAGATTGGGTCTTGTCACCATATCCATACATTCCATTTGCAAAATGTCAATAGAATGTTATTCTTTCTATTTGTAGTTGTGGGAAATATTTAACGTTAACAGAAAGTACCAAGCCTTGAACCTTGACCTCTTTACAAATGATGGCAGAAGCGATAAATCCGTCGTGTAACTTGCATATTAATATCTTTCTTTGATTAAACGTTATTATTAAATTCTAATTTATATTATGAAATGAGTAGTTATATATGAAATATCATTTTTAGTTAACAAAATTTGGTCCAATTTGATGTTAATACACCAACTTCACATCTATGTAGAATAATTAAAACAGGTAAAGGACGAGGATAAAAGGCTAACTTGCTCTATAAGTTTATATTTTAAAGGAGTTTTAATATAAATATAATTTTAATTAAAAAAAACTATAACATATTACATAATATTTGTACCCTGCCTGGGCTTCCAAATACCAAAATGTACTTACAAAATTTCATCATTAATTTTCTATACATGGATTATCCAAAGATACACAAATGAGGTGAATTATTCCATATTTTACTTTAAATTATAGTATATTAAAATAAAATTAATTTTAACTTTAATATATTGCTATAATATATACTTTTATATTGTTTAGCATTTACATTATTTCATTTAAAATACCCTAATAATGACGAATTACTGTCGCAAAAAACTGTTCTCATGTTATAAAATCTCATTAAAAAGCCTATATGACATTTAACGCATGAATTATAAAAATAATTTATATTAAAATCAACTATAACATTTATGTGACCCCTACCATTGCACCAGAAATGACATGCTGTACCTAACTTTTCTTATTTTAAAAATATACCACATTTTCGAATCTCTTAGAATAAAACGAAACATTGATAAAAATTGATTTATTTAAACATCAAATTATTCGAACATTCTAAAGGTTCATGTGTACAAATAAATTTAACTACACGCGGCTTTCCCTAGTCTACAGAATAATTATAAATCATATATTTTACTTTAAAAAAATACCTGATTTTATTGTTGTCGTAAATTTGCAGATTTTTTCATAAAAAGTTTGCGTGTACCGGCTTTAAAACTTACCTTTAAATATACATTTTTGGTCATTTGTAATATTCAATTATAAATAAATTGTTTTAAAAATACATCTTTTTTTATTATATATTAGCTAATCGTAACAAAAATATAATAATGATAAAAATCTTCAAAACCTCAGATAAAGGAATGTAAATTTCCTGCCTGCGTAAAAATTGCATAAATAAAAAAAAGAAATATCCTATCCTATCCATAATATATAAAGTGAGTTCACACGGCGCGTTGCGTTGCCGCAACGCAAATATTTTGCCATACTGGCGCTGCATCCTCGCAGCGTTGCTACAACGCAGTCGTATCGTTCCGTCGTCGCAGCGGCAACGCACAATTGCGGTGAGCATTTTGTAAAAACATCGCAGCCTATTTGGAAACATGGATCAAAAAAGTCTGGCATTGCTCATATTGCTACATCAGCGCGGAAAACGACGCAAAATCATAATACGGTATTGGACCTCTCCCGTAATTTCATTTAAAAAAATGGTGATGGACAGTTTTTTTTGTTGGAATATCAGGAGTTGCTGTTAGACGAAAATAGGTTTTATAATTTCTTTAGAATGTGTCCAGTTTCGAATATTTAATATCTTTTCATTTTTCATTCACTTCGAATAGTAATCTATATCAATTTCTTTAATGGTACTCATTTTAATCTGCAAATTAAACTCAAAGAAAAATCGGAATTAACGTGCGTACTATCAACGCACAAACAACTAAGCGCTGTCGCTCCGGCGTCGCAAGCAGTATACCCTTTCAGTTTATACAAAGGTACTCTGTGGTACACCCCTTCCCTTTCGTCTCCGGGGCTTTCAGTCAGTTGTGTGCACGTTGCGTCAACACAGAGCACCGTGTGAACAGTATGGTTATAAGTATGTAAAACTTTGATGTAAAACGACGCAGTGACAACGCTACGTCAACGCAACGCGTCGTGTGAACCGACCCTAACAAGGACTTTTATATTTTTTGATATGACTCTTGTAAACTCTAACTACCAGTAGCGCCGTGAGAAAATCCACCTGTCTCCCTTAATCTGCTTTGGGGTTCGTGTCGTACAGGCAGGCCTCTGTCACTCTTGCTACCTGCGTGTAATAATTACCTAAATCCCGATTCACCCACGGTGTAATACACAGTCGGGGCTAGCGCCTTCTAGGCGATTGATGTATTTTTAACGCTGTTTACTTAAATAGTTTTTTGTATACACTTGTAATTTTTGTCAAGTGTTTAGTATTTAATTCTGGGATACTATAATTCAATATTTTTTATGTGATTTAAAATAATAAATATCCTATATTAGGGGTCTAATAACAAAGGCGGCAAAGTCCCATATAATGATATGGGACTTTGCCGCCTTTGTTATTAGACCCCTGTATATACCTATCTAATTGATAAATTATAATGGCAAAACTTCGAACCTACTTTAATTGTTGCGTGGATGGATGCATAATGAGGAAACAAAAGAATTCAGATATATCATTTTTTCCTTACCTAAGGATAATGGAAGGAACATTTATTTAATTTTTTTGTTAATAAATACTTATAGCAAAAAAGAATTACGTAATATTTTAAATACAGAAGTAATACCTAAGTACTTTATTACAAAACTTAGTTGAATTTTACGTAGGTAAATTGAAGTAAGTGACTTACCTGTCTTTTGTAATTAAAATATTTTAAGTTATCACAAAGCACTAAAATTAAAACTTTCTTTATAAGTAGGTACAAGATTTTTAACTAATTAGAATACAATCATATTTCATTTAAGAATCGTATTTCAGGTTCATTTGTTGTTTACACTACCTATAATTTCTTCCAAGCGATTTACTAAATCGCGATTCGCGACGAGTGACTGCACGTTGCATGCGTTAGGCACAGAATTCGCGTAGTAGCAAAAATATGTTCATTCGATCAGTCGGAATACCTCATATTTTACTTACCATTTCGCAACGTATGAATAAATTAATTTATTTATTTATTTATACTCTTTATTGCACACAAAATATAAATTTATGTACAAGGTACCTAACCTTACCTATTTTATTTACCATTTTGCAACGTTAAATTAATTTATTTATTTATACTTGTTCGGTTATACTGATCTATACGAGTGTGAGAGCGAGCGTAAGTGTAAATACGTATGAATGTGTATATAGGTTCAATATTTAAAAGCATAATTTGTAAAAACAGTTGCAAATAAACCATCACGCAGTAAACACGTCTTTCTGTCAGAACAAATTCTTACAAACCAAAGTGAACCCTGATATCTATTACATAGTGGTCGAAATCGAGCCGGATTTCAATTCGACTTACGACGTTCCTGCGCCGCGCGATTATACAAAATGACTGGTCGAGTGACGAGCTTAGAACAGAAGAAGACGTTTGCGTAAACAAGTTTTTTGCACGTTTAATGCACCATATGGCATCGAGTTGTAGATTGGAAAGAAATAAATTATTATAATTATAACACGGAAATACCTAAGAAACAACATTCGAGTTTAAACACGATTTGAAGATAGTTTTATATACTTATACCGAAAATGGCTAGTACACCGGAACAAATACTAAATGTGTTAGAAGATACAGCTATATTGTTAAGAAAAACTCAAGCAAATTTAAAGAAATGTCCAAAACAACGCCTAACAAAGGGTTACGTAGAAACACGTATTAAAACCGTTGAAGAATACTGGTCTACATATAAAAAGGCACATGAAGAATTAGTGAAGTGTGTTCCAAAACCGAAACGACAAGATATTCCGTATTTCGTTAATGAAGAATATTTTATTCAGGAAGATTTATATATTTGTATACTAGCCGATCTTAATGATTTATTATTTTCGCTTAACAAGTTATCGTCTTCGACACCTACGCAAATTGATAATAATAATTCGGGTTCTTCTAAATAAATGCATGTCAAGTTACCAAGGATTCAACTTCCAACTTTCTCGGGAATTTACGATGAGTGGCCTGCTTATCAAGATTTGTTTACATCATTAGTGCATAATAACATCATTAAGTAACGTACAAAGGTTGCATTATTTGAAAGGAAGTCTTACGGGAGAAGCCCTGTCACTTTTGAAACACGTCCAAGTCATCGATGCTAACTATGAAATGTCGTCAAGCGGACTATCATTAATTCAATATTAAAAAGATTGTTTACGCAAAGAAAAATTAGTGTACAAACGGCAAGTAACTTCAAATCTATTTTGGATACTACAACAGAATGCCTGAATGCATTAAAAACCCTTGGGCTATCAACAAGCTCCTGGGATCCACTCATTATTTTTAGTTGTACAAAAATTGGACCCAGAGACGCAACATGATTGGGAAGAAGATGCTTACAAGGATAATGCTGAAAACTTACCCACATGGTACGCACTCAATAAATTTTTACAGTTAAAATTCCGCACTCTTGAGCTTTGCACGCCG